GGGGTACGGGGACGAGGAGGGCGGGCTGAGCAGCTTCCTTGCCGGGTTTTGATCTGGGAGTTGAAGGGCTGTCTTGACCTGGCGGCGCCCTGGGGTCCGGCGGCGCCTGATAAGATCTGCCAGGGCGGGGCCTGCCTCTTCCCCTCATTTTTTCCGTTGCTCGGGGGTAAGACCAAGCCCCGAGCCCAAGGGCTTGGTGCGGTCGCTTTTTACAATCCTGCTGAGTCGCAAATAAGCTCCGCGCTCGTCGAAGCTGTAGCGGGTTGCACTCCCTGCCCCCGATCCTGACCCCCTGGCCTTGGCCTGACGGCACGCCGGCGACGAGCGCCGGCGTACACACGCCTGGGGCCCGGGCGGGGCTCTGGGCCGGGCGCATTGGCTGGGGTTTTTTGGAATGCCCGCGTTGGACACCCGCGCAGGCCCTGCGCTTGGGCGCAGGTGACCCGCTGAACCAACACAGGGGCCGCAAGGCGGCGCCCGCGGCCAAGCTGACCTGGCATCCCCGTTTGAATTTTGCCGCCAGCCTGGCGCCACGCGCGCCGAGCGCCGCCTTGGTGCGGCCCCGACCCGCTGGGGCCTGGCTGTGCCGCCGCGGGCTGAATTGCGGGACGGCCTGCATAGGCCTGCAGCCTTGCCACTCCAGGGGCCGTTCCAAAGAACGTGACGCGCCACCTCGTGCGGCCCGCCGCCGGAGCATTGTCCGGCGGCCACGCAGCCCGCCCGCCTTCCGCGGCGCCGCCGCGCCGGCTCGCCTTCTGCTCCTAGGCCCGGGCGCAATAGCCCGCACTCTTGAGAGCGGGGCGGGCGGCGCCGCGCGCCGCGGCGGCGCCGGAGGGGTCGGTCCAGCGCGCCCTTTGGTTTTCTTTGTGTCTGCATACCCAATCTGCACCCCCTGCGCCTGAGCCCTCGCTTGCGCCCGTTCATGCACTCGACGGCGGCGCCAACACTGCACTACCTGTGCACACCACGGCGGCCTGAACGATTCAACAGGGCTGCCGCGCTCCCCACTCGCTGGGCCCCCCTTGCTTGCCAAGGGTCACCACGCACGAGCCTCGCGCGTCAGCACAGATCTGCCGACTTGGCAACAGGCTTCTCCCAGGGTCGTGCGCCCCGCCTCGCGCTGTGGCGCGACCTTTGGACCCCGCTTTCAGCGCTGGCCGCCGCCTGGCCGGCGCCAACAACGCCTCTTGCCTCGCTGTCCTATCCTGACGCATGCGCCCGGCCGAGCGCCAGGCGTGCGACAGAGGCCCACGCCCGAGAAGAAAGCACGCGTCGGCCCGCCTCGCGGCGGCCGGCGATTGACGCCCCCAACCGCTCCGCACTGACGACCTCGGCGCTGCCGCCGCCCGCCGCGCCTCGCTCCCCGTGTGCCGCACCGCGCCCCAGCGCCGGCCCCGGCCGGCCGCCGCCCGCCCCCTACTAACGAGCAGGGCGGCGTCTGTCGCGCGCCGAGCCCCCCGCACTCCCGCAATGGAAGGACCCTGGACGCGTCGCATTGCCGCCTTCACCGCCCGCATTGCCTGCCTGCTTGCGCCCGCCCGCCTGGTGCAGCCGACCCTGGCGGGTCCCCTGCGGGGCGCCACCCCGTCGTGGGGCCCGACTGGGCTGTACATCCCAACTCTCGCTTTACATGGGGGTCGCTCACACGTGACGTGGGAGCCGACGCTGCGCCGGGCCACGTGAGCAAGGGTGCCACAACGCGCCTGTGCTCTCAAAGCCCAAGGCCGGCGCTGCTTGCCCTCGCCGCGCGTCCCCTGCGATTTTTGGCCTTTGAGGCATCTGTTCACTGCCGCCGCCGCGGCGGCCTTATTAGGGCCGCCGACGGCGAGCTCTTACGTGGTTTGCACGCTGCGCCGCTGCCGCGTGCAGGGGCACTGCACGTGACGGAGGGTCGGGGTCGCGGGTGCAGCCGGGTGCGTTTGCGCCCTTTGCAGGCTGACCCGCCCCATCAACCTGTTGTGCCACCTGGCTGGTGTGCGGCACCGAATGTGGCGTTTCCCTGGCGCCACGGATTCTTCGTCCACTCTGCTCTCCCCACCTTGTGCCGGAAAGAAACGCCCCACACCGCAAGTAGCTGCCGCCAACAAACACCGCTCAGCAAAAAGCGGCGGGCCCCTGCATTGTGGGGCTCGTGCGCGCTGCCGGCGCGCTGGGATTGATTGACACTGTCGATCCAGGCCAAAACAACTCTTGGCACACATACTACACGTGTGCGACCGCCAGAGCTGACATCCCACCACGCTCGCACGCCTCTGCCTGCTGTCTTGAAATTTTGCATGTTTTGCTGGTAGTGCGGGGCCCCCCGCCCGCGCCTCTTGACCATGCGCGCTGCGAAGCAGGGGTGCCTGCAATCAATCGAGTTCACCCGCAACAGAGTACATCCGCAAACACCATTTGGCGGCAATATGTTACCATGCCGAGTCTGTAAACATGAATCGCGCTGCTGACCATTGAGAGGTATGGAACATGTTGTGGACCACTGCACAATGGGTGGACTCGATGGCGTGGACATGGGAGGGTGGGCTTGCCGCATTGCTTGTGGACCCATTATGGGGGCGTGCCAGCCCCACTCGAGCAATTACCACAAACGCATGCAATTGCACAGCTGGTGCTGGAGCACACGAACATGGGTTGCATCGGGCGCAGCACGAGTATCACTGAGCCAACACCCCTGACGGCGGCACGCATGGCCTGCCTTTACTTTCGGGTGCCGCGGCGCATGACACGGCAGAACGGGAGAGTGATACAAACGCCCTCTTTGATACAAAATCCCATTTGTCGCGCTTACAGGTTCGCCTCTGTCTCAAAGATCCGCAGCAAGCAGCAAGCAGCGACACAACATGTACAGAGGGCGGAACGGTGCTCGGGAGCCCATGTGATGACGGCCCTCCGGCATCAGATAAAGCTTTCACCATGGGCATCTGTACGTCGAAGCCGGGCGCGGACGTCCCAGATCGGGGTGAGGACTTGTGCAGGACTTGCACCCGTGTGGGGGTGGCTCCGGCCCCTTAATCTTGACCATTGATTTGCAGGCAAGGACATCAAGACCCCTGCAGGTCGCGAGAGCGAAGCCGTTGTCGCTGCGTGGGGTCCCGACGATGTGGCGAGCTGGGTGGCGGCACAGCAGCTCCCCGAGGAGTGCGCTGCTGTCCTGCAGGTGTGTGGGTGGGCGCAGCACTCGTGTGCAATGGGCATGCACCTGTTGAATCCTGGATCTCAGGTAGCTCAGCTGTCCTCAGGCTCTGCTGCGTTTGGCGCTAGCCACTGGGCGGTGCAGTTCCATCCACGGGCACGGCTGCCTGTCTTTGCGCCGCAAGCACCGGTGCCCCCATCACCCAGCCGCTGATGGCGCCTCCACGCTGCTATTCTTGCGTTTAGGGTATGGATGGAGCGCGGCTGCTGCAGCTGACAGACCCGAGCCTAACCGAGTCGGGGGTCGCGGATGCGGCGGCACGTGAGCAGCTCCTCGCAGCGCGGGACGCGCTCGTGTCGGCGGGGCACGAAGGCGATGCCCCCCAGAAGCAGCCCGAGCAGTCGCAGCAGGAGGCACAGCAGGCGCAGCAGGGCCTCACGGAGCAGCCCGCAGCTGCCGCGCCGCGCGGGCCCGTGCTCACAGGCAGCTCCGCGCTGCCCCGCGCCGGCAGCGGCGCGGGCGCCGCCGCCGACGCGGGGCAGGCTCCGGCGGGCAGCGGCGCGGCGCTCACGAGCTTCGATCTCGCGGGATCATCCAGGTCGAGCGCTAGCCCCGCGGCCGCGGCGATGGCGGCCGCGTTCGAGGCAGCGGCGGCGGCCCGCCAGTCCCAGAATGACCCACTGAAATTCGCGGCCAGGCTTGCAGCGGCCGAGCGCGCGACCGAGGCGGCCGCCGCGAGCATGGGCGTGCCGCTGCCGCCTCCGGGCGCGGCCGCGGCCGCGGCGCCCGCGCCCGCGAATGCGACCGCGGCGAAGCCGGCGGCGGGTGTGAGCGATATGTCGGTCGGGCAGTCTGGCGCCAGCAGCAGTCCCCTCCTGCCGCCTGTGCCCAGCGGCGCCGGCACACGGCGGCACTCGGCGTCCATCGAGCTGCCAGACAGGGCGCTCATGTACGTCGTGCGGGCGACCGCAAACGGACGGCTTTTCAGGTGAGCGCGCCTGCACTCTCAGAGCGCTGGGCAGCGAGGCGCCCCCTTGCAGTCCCTGCCAAGGTGCCCAGATGCCACAGGGGCGCCCATGCGACCCCTGCGTCCACCGCCAATCTCCTGACGCCGCCGTTCGTGCGTGCTCCCGCCGTTGCGACCGGCGCCCCGCAGGACACAGCAGGAGGTGGCTCGCGGCCTGCAGCCGCTCGCGTCGCACCTGAGCCTCTTGTACGACCTCAAGCGCAGCTCGCACTACCACCTGCTCAACTGCCGCTCGCTGCTGTGCCGCCTGGTCGCCGCCTTTGACCTTCTTTCCGAGACGCCGCAGCTGCGGCCGCCGCGGCCGGGCCCGGGCGGCCAGCCGGTGGCGCTCGGGGGCCGGCTTTCGGAGGACCCTTCACAGCCGGGCGCAAGGGGCGGCGCCAGGGGCGCCGCGAGCAGCGCCGGCGGCGCCGGGGGCGCGGGAGGGGGCCGGCTGAGCCTGGGCGGCGGCGGCGCCGCAGCCGCAGCCGCCGCAGCCTCAGCGGCGCCGGTCGGCGCGCGGTGCGGCAGCAGCGCGGGCGAGGTGCTGGCGACGCAGCTGGAGGACTTGGTGTCAGATGCTCATGACCTTTTCGCGCAGTTCTCAGAGCCGTGAGTGCACACACGTAGACACCCGCACACAGAACATTGGCGTTGCATTGCAGGGGCGGCCCTGGGTTGTCGTGCGGCACCGGGTGGGGGCCCCTGCTACTGGCCCCGCAGCCGTCAGCTGGGTGCGGTGGTGACGCTGGTTGCGTGCCCCTCTCCACCTCCCATCCCTGCTCCGCCGCGGGCGCGCGACCCGACCCGCCCACCCGCGCGCGCAACCCCTGGTTCTTCTCCGGCAGCGGCTGGCTGTCGCGGCTGCTGCAGCCGGTGCAGGACGTGGAGGACTTCCAGCAGCTGGACGCGGCCCTTAGGGCGGCCGTCTCTGCCGCGCTCGCGGCAGCCGGGCTGGACGCGCCGCCCGCGGGCACGACCGTCGACCTCAGCCAGCCGGCGGCGTTCACGCCGCTGCAGGCGCAGCTGGCGAAGGCGCTCGAAAACGTGAGGGAGGCCGCGGCGCGGTGTACTGGCGGCGCGCAGGGGGCGGCATCTATTGCAGGGGGGTCGCCAGCTCAGCATGGCATTGTCGCCAACTCGCATCCGTGCCCTTTGCAGGCCGGGGCGCTTCATCCCAACCCATCACCGACCCTAAATACACAACACAACCTGTGCTCAAACCAACGCGAATGCAGATTGGCGGCATGGAGGGCGTCATTCGCGATTACGCCACCGCCGCACGCCGCCTCGCGCCCGGCATGGTGCCGCCGCCGTCGGGGCAGTCGTTCGAATCCCTCATTGCAGAGGAGGCCGACATGTGGTTAGCCACCGCACGCGACGCGTCAGGGCTGTCCCTGACGACGTCCCAGGGCGGGGCGGGCGGCAGCCTGCAGTCTGCGGCGGCCGACGGCTCGTTTTCTGTCGCCCGCAGCAGCCTCAGTGGCCGCGGCTCCGCGCTCCGCGGAGGCGTCGAGGCGAGCAGCGGCAGCTGGCGCGGCCCGCGCGGCGGCGTCGAGCCGAGCGGCGGGAGCGGGCGCAGCTCGTCGGTGGGGGGCGCGGGCGGGGGCGGGGCGGAGCCGGGCAGCGTGCTGCGGCATTTGGCGCTGCGGGCGGAGTGGCAGCGGCGCATCGGGGCGAAGGAGCGCGTGCCGTGGCGGGAGTTCTGGTACAAGCTCGTCCAACCTCAGGTGCCTCATCATGGAGAATTTTCGGGGTTGTCTGGGCCCTTTCTGAGGTCTTGCTGCCGGATTGCTGATTGCTGCCGCCGCACCTGTTGCCACACACCCGACGTGCAGTTCGTCATGCTTACCCCACGCTCATGCCTCGCCGCCACACCCGCCTGCCAGCACGCCCTCCTTGTTTCGCGCTAGCGCCTCCCTCGCGCCCCTCCTCCGCCACCTGCCTCCGCCGGGCTCGCCCTGTTCAACTCTCTCGCGCGCCACCCATCCTTTCTCCCCCTTATTCATATGCAGGCCCACGCCTGGGGCCTGGAAACGAAGCTTGACAAGTTCTCGGTTGACTTCCTGCAGCACCAGCTGGAGCGCGGGCCCCACGGCCGCCTGACGCTGGAGATGCTCGATTTCGCCTTCCCGCCAAACGCGCCCATCTCGACCGCAGTGCAGGCGCGTATCTCCGCGCCCCCTCGCCGCGACGCCACCGCCGCCGTCTATGGTTTGCTGTGGATGCAGGGACTCTGACCTGCCCTCAATTGCAGGTGTCTTTGCAAGCCAGTCGTCCCACTCATCCAGTCCAAACCCCAATCAATTCCTCGACTTTCCAGCCTTTTTTATGTTGGCTCCATGTTGCTGCCTGTTTGACCCAGGACTCGCTCCTCCCGCCCCCTCATCTGCCCGCACGCAGGCGATGCAGCAGGCGCACATCCAGTTCAGCTTGAAGCTCGGCCCCTCCACAGCTTCAATGCAGTCGGGCCCGCTGTCCAACTTTGGGGCTGCGCCCGCGCTGGTGACGTCGAGGATGCTGGGCGGCGGCGGCGGGCTGCTGCCAGAGGTCACCCCAGGGCTGCACTACTTTCCAGAGGTGGGTGGTTGCTCTGGGCGCTGTGTAGGCCCGACGCACCTGGTGGGGTGCGTGCTCGTGCGCGTGCGGCGCACGCCGCGCGGCCCGCGGCGTGCTAGTGTTCCAGGGTCTGCCGATGTGTTCCCAGCTGGATCATTTCGTGTTTTGATTGTGTTGATGGGCAGGTGTGGGCGGGCAGCATCTCACACGTGCTGTCCTGTGCTGCCGCATCTATATACGGCGGCCCCCATGCCCGCAGTGTGGTGTGCCCTGCCGCCTTGCGCGGGCCTCAGCCCCAAATCAAGCGCTGCACTGCCGCCGGCCCTGCAATGCCTTAAAAGCCACGCCACATCTCATCTCATCCAGCCCGCTTGCCGCGTTCGCTCCCTGCTTCCTGCATGTGCTCTGCCCCGACCTTCCGTCGCCGGCCCCACCCCTCAGTTCATCGAAGGCCGGCCGCGGCGCGATCAAGACCTAGCAGATCTGGTGCTCAGCATGCAGGTGGGTGGGGATGCAGGTGTACCTGATTGTGCTGTCATGCCAAAAGCGGTGGCATGCTGGCGACAAGGATGGCGGTACAGGAGCACGGGAGCAGAGGCAAACACGGGCCGTGCCGTGTTCAGGCGCCCCTGTCGTCGCTACATGGGCGATCAGCCGCCCTTCGCATTCCAAGCCCATGCGCCCGTTAGTGCCGAGGATTTGCACCGTGAATTCGCACCCCGCTCCGCCTTGTGATAATCGGCCTCCGCAGGACATCTCCACAAACCTGGTGGTGGTGATCGGCCCCAACGGCAGCGGCAGATCCGCGCTGGCGGCTGCGCTGGCGTCGGACCTAGTGGCAACGGGGCACTGGGTGGAGGCGTATTGGACGGACCTGGGGGGCGTGGCCACCGCCACCACCGCAGGTGCGCGGCTGTGAGGGTGTGTGTGTGCGTGTGTGCGTCTGTGTGTGTGTGTGTGTGCGCGCGCAATTGGTCCTCATGTGTGTATGTGCGCCGTTGTCTCATGTGTGCTTGTGTGTTTGGGGGGGACAAGTCGTGTGTGTTGGCACGCACGTGTGTGCATTTGTGCATGCGTGCATGCATGCATGGGTGTGCTTGCCTGTTTTGTGTATGCGTGTGTTTGTGTGTGTGTGTGCATGTACGTGTACTTGCATGTGCATGTGCATGTGTGTGGGTGTGTTGTGTGCACGCTAGTGCACCGGGCGCAGCGTTGGGCTCGTCTTTGGGCGTTGGGCTTGTCTTTGTTGCTGCCCGTATTGGTGCACCCGCAAGTGAGGTTTGACCTGGGGGCTGGGCGGCCTGCGCGGGCGGCGCTGGCCGTGCACGCAAGCCTTGCAGCGCTGCCGAGCGGTGACATCACACATCCCGCCGCCCCTCCGCCCCCTACCCCCTATTCTCATCCCCCAGGCATCCAGATGCTGTCGTGCATGGGCCTGATAACCGACGCCCCAGACCCCAGCCAGCTGCTGGCCTGGCTCGAGTCGCGCAGCGGGGAGCGATTCGGGATCGTCTTGACGCACACTGACAGGATACTGGGCGGCCCCGCGGACGACCAGGCCGGCCTCCTGGATCTGGTGGACCGCATGCTGCAGGCGAGCTATCTGATGTGATCTGGCGCGATCTGACAGGCTGGATTCGGGTTTGCAGATCAAAGGATGCATGCCGTGACTTGAGTGATGTGGTCCACTTTGTTGCGAAACCATGCTGCACTCCTCGTTATGAGATGCTGGGTGGCAACCAATAATCGTGCTATCTGGGGCGGCTGTCGCCTGGGGCGATCCGAATCGACAGGCGTGCAGCAAGCTCCAGATCGTCCTGGTCAGCGACGACCACCTGGAGCGCACCGCCTACAACGCGCGCACCCTGGAGCTGGGGCCGCTGCCGAACGATGCGGTGGCGGGGGCGCTGAAGGCGACGCACCCAGACATGCCTGAGGTGGGGCCCGCGCCCGCCCATGCGCACGCGTGCGCGCCCCACAAACGCATGCGGCGCAGCGGCGAAAGCGATTGCCGTTTGATCCTGTTGCGACTGCAAAAGCCCTCCGGCTGTTGCTGACAGCTTCCCTCCGTCTGCTGCGCCGCGCGCTGGTGTATCAGGACGCCGCTTCCCGCCTGGCAGAGGCCTGCAACGGCAGCATGCTGGGGCTCCAGGTGCGTCACTACATGCATTTGCTAGCATGCCTGCGAGATTGATTTATCTCTCACATGTGACAAACACTCATGAACCTTGATGCAGCTGAGCGCAACCGGATCACCTGCGGATGCCTCTGCCCTCCCCAGCTCCAAACCCCCCAATCTCCACCCTCTGCATCGCCGAGTCTGCGTCCACACTACCCGCCCGCTCTCGCCGCCACCCAACCCGCTCTGACCCGACCCAATCCCCCCCACCCCCCTCCAGATCGTGTCCGGCCTGCTTGGCCACGGCTACTGTGGTCCGGGCGACCTGATTCGCCTGCTGGCCGACCCCAACCTGCCTTCCACTACGTCCCGCGCCGGCTCTGGCGCGACGCCCACCTCTGGGGCCGACCGCCACGACAGCGGCGTGCCCAACAGCGAGCGCGAGTGCCTGCAGCGGTGAGCCGCTTTGGCTTTCAAAGGCGGGCAACGAAGAGGGCGCGACGGGCGTGGGTTGGTAATTCAAGGGCGGCTTTGCTGTTGCCACTCACACGTGCAGGAGCGTCCTGGGATTGCACCCCCATGTTTCTGCCCTGCCGTGTCCCCGCTACCACTCCCACACTGCACTTTTGACCTGCCCCTCCCGTTGCCCCCCTCCGGCTTCTCCCCTGCCCTAGCCTGCTGGTGGGGGCGATGGTCGCCCTACCAGAGGACCTGTGCAACGCTCTTCTGGTCCTGTCGCTGCTGCCGGCGCCCTTCTCATATGAAGACGCCGCGCAGCTTCTCGCGCACCCCGCCAGCGGCGTGCAGCGCCGCGGCCTGCTGCGGCGGCTGGTGGCGGTCGGGCTCATGGAGTGGCAGCCGGGGAGGCGGCTGTACAGCCTGCCAGGGGCGGTCAGGGAGGCGGCGCTCGTGCTGGCGAATTCGCTGGGTGGGTGGCGCATCGCAGTGATGCCACAACCCCCAGCTTGCTGGCCGGCTATCATTGTGCTCATCCTTGCGCCTCCCTGGCAAGCGTGGCCTTGTGACTCTGCTCGTCACCGTCCTGTTGCAGCACAGTCGCATGTGCCGTTTTCCAGCGTGCCTATCTCGCAGCCGTTGCGATTCATCAACCGCTGCGCCTCGCCCTCGACCCGTTTGACCGCGTTTGACCGCAGGGATGGAGTACGCCGAGTCGCGCAGTTCGTACCTGCGGCACGTCATACTGTGCGTCAAGGGCGGCGCGGTGGCGCTGTTTGAGGCTGGCCACCACCTGGCCGCTTTTGTGGCATGGCAAATGTACCAGGTACGCCGCGGCTCGCGCCGCCCTGGCTGTCGAGCGGCCTGTTTGTGTCCCCAGTGTGCGCGTTCAGAAGCGTTGGCAGGGGTAAGGCCGCTCTGCAAATATCCATGGCGCGTGCACTGCACCCAGCTTGCCAAGCTGCAGGGGCAAGGCGGCACGCGCAGCTGTTGGCGCCCTGCCTTGACGGCGGTCACAACCTTCTGTGCGCCGGGAATCACGCGCTAGTGACCTGGCATCGTCAACCTTGTGCGTGCCCTCTCTCTTGGCTTTCCAGGTCCATGTATCCCAGATCGTCTCCTCGGCGCTGTCCCAGGGCGTCCGGGAGGAGGAGCTGCCGCTGCTGACAGACCTCCTGTGGGACGCGCTGCCCCTCATGACGCGCACGTGCAGCGGCAACCTGCTGCAGGGTGAGTCAGCGATCAGAGGCTCACCCCCTGCCGGCGGACATGAGGCTCGGCTCGCACCCACCCAACCAGCCCCAGGAATGGCCCTCACGCCGGCAGGGTCCGACAAGCAACCAAAGCGCCCCCGCCCTTCACCCAGCGCCCCAGGGGCGCCACCGGTTTTGGGTTAGCCCACTCATGGTTGACTGGCTCATCAACACGCGATGCTCCCTTGCTCACCGACGCATTGGCCGCACCCCCAGGGTTCTGCCAGAAGCTCCTGGACAAGGCCACGCTGCTGGACCGACGCGTGGACGTGTCGCGCGTGGGCACCATGTTTGGGGCCCTGCTGGCGGAGGCGGGTGAGGAGGCCCTGTGTGTGCAGGAGTGTGTGTGTAGGAGTGTGTGTGTTTACGAACACGTGTGTGTGCGCGCGCGTGTGTGTATGTGTGTGTGTGTGCACGTGTGCACATGTCTGCGCCTGCATGCCTGGTTCTGTAAGCTTGAGTGGGGGTGGGTGTGAGGGTGAGTTGTAACTGGTCGGGTACAGGTACGTTTGGGATCTGACAACTCCCAGTCTGGCGCGAAGCTGACATCTCCTGCGGGAGCGTGCCTCTGGTCTCCTGAGCCAGGAGGGTGCCCAGCCGCTGCCTCGAGCAGGCCTCCCAGGATCAGCCGGCCCGTCAATCGCGTTGCGGCCCCACCCGTGTCCCCGCGCCCCGCCACGCCCCTGCCCCCAGGCGCGTTCCGCCGCGCCGAGCCGCTGCTGCGCAACGCCCTGGAGCTGATGTGGCGCGAGCTCCGCGGCCCGCACCCCTACACCGCCCGCTGCTACGCCGTGCTCGGCGCGATGCTGGCGCGGGCCGGGAAGCTGCAGGAAGCCGCCACGCAGCTGCAGCAGGCCGTGGAGATCATGCAGGTGGGGCGCCGCCTCGGGGGCTGCTTCGAGGCGCCTTTGGGCCCTGTGCGCTGCATCGACCTACCAAGCTTTCCAGACAGTCTCCTTCTATATTTCAAGCGAGTTTTGGGACCGCTGCAATCAAGGTTTGGCCTGATTTCCGGGATTTCTTCTCCCAACTCGCCCCTTGAAACCTCAGGTGTTGGCCGGGGTGAGCAACCGCGGCAGCACCAACGGCGGCGACTCCAGCTTTAATGCGGACGCCGCCGCCGCGGCCGCCGCGAGCGGCAACTCTGTGTCGCAGGCCGCCGACGCCGCGGACGCGCTTGGCGTCCTCCGCGCGGCCCGCAGCAGTGGCAGCGGCGGCCTGCTGCCCTCCGGCGTCGCCGCGCGGCTGCTGCCGGTGCTGCTGCAGCTGGCGGAGGTGCGGCGGCGGCAGCGGCGGTTCGCGGATGCGGAGGGGCTGTGCAGGCGCGCGCTGGGCGTGGC